GTTTTTGAACGAATCATTTGAGTCAATGATTCAAAGACCCATTCATATAGACATGCTTGATTTCTAAATGAATCAGAAGTTTTGAATGAATCGTTTGAATGGACGATTCAATGATTCACTCATTAAGACAGAGACTTGCTGCCACCTACTGGCGGTTTTAGTGTAATTTATCCATGACAGGCCTAAACCAGCCAAGACACCAGCACAAAAACACACTCAGCAAAATATTGTTTAATTACAGTTATCAGAAAATCACGTTTTTTCCCCTTCTCAATATTGCACACCCCTAATTGAAACTGCGATGCGTTTAGTGTGATTGTCAAATCATGCAGGCTGTGATGTGTCTATAATCTGCTATAGATTTACTCAACTACAATGCTATGATATTTAGTCGACTAAAACTGGAAATTCAGATGACTAGAACTAACAAGCAAAAGAGTCTAGCTAAAACTAAACCAAAATTTGCAGTCAAAATGAACTCGCTGCTGTTCTGTAGAGTGTAAACCATATGTTTTGTACTTCTGGGAAACAGACGGCGCTCTACCTTCTGGCCAAAGCCTCCTGAGCATCCATGGCTGTGTTTCTGCCCCTGAAGGTCACCGGGCTCGCTGACCGACTCAGACTTTTCCTCCGTGCTTTCTCTGTCCTCTTCTTCTTCTTCTCCCTAGACAAAATTACACCATCTCACAGTCTTAGCACAAACACGCATTTTCATTCAGTTTCATGCAAAATCCCAAACACACGGTCTTGCTCCAACCTGCTCTTGCTGCGATGTCTGTGTTTGCTTCTGGAGTTTGATCGAGACTTAGCCCGTCTCTTCTTGTCACGACTGCGCGAGCGAGACCTTCTTTTGTCCAGGTTTCGATTGTGATGTCGCCTACAGTATAATATGATTTGACATCTAAGCACACTAAACCTCGCCATACTCACTTGTTGCATGAATTCAGACGATTCAAATGAATCAAAGGGAAATACCTTTCCCTCGAGCGTGATCGTGACAGGCTTCTTGGTCTGGAGGACTTCTTGTCTTTCCGACGCCGCCGCTCCTCCATGTCTTTATCTGACGTCTCCAGCTGCTCCTCTGATCCGCTCCGACACCGCAGAGCTTTCTCAGAGGCCTTCTTCCGCACCTGTTTTAAGAAGAATTGGTCTCTTTCAGGAAAATAGTGCAATAAAGAGAGTTAGTAAGTTGGTTTGAGCACAAACTAATTTAAAAAATAATAAAAAATAATACTGACAAGAAAAACTGTTTTTAAAAAAACCCTATGCCAACTTCCACCACCATCCGAGTGCATCGTGTACAGTTACATTTAACACAAATGAGCACATTTAACCAACACATTTACACCCCGTTCACTACCCCCCAAAAAAAAAAGGCCTTGTCCCATTCAAGAACAGAACACCCACATCGAACGACTGGGTCAATTCAAGATGAATAAAATAAACTGTTAAATATGCTGTATTACTGAGTTGGGTTCATGCCAGTGAGTGATAATATCCTACACGTCTGAGACGATTTCTGTTCCAATACTGCACTGTGTTGCATGCAAGTGAGAGCTAATAAAACGAACAAAATAAAATGACATGTATTAAGCGAGTTTAGGTGTAACGCATTTGATTCTGCATAAAATGTTTTCTTTGGAGAAATGCAAAGGTAATACTGCCATACAAATGCGAAACGCTGTAACAACACCAACTGTAAATGGCTGTAAATTTACAATTTAAAAACAAGTGCAATCTCCGTGTTTAGGCTTGTAGGGCAGAACAGGTTAACAAAGCATTAAATAATAATACATTATGAATAAAGCAATCTGTCGTTAAACACAACAAAGTGGCATGATTCTTGTGAAAATGAACGGGAAGCTCACGGTCACTGCGTTCAATGCCCTAATGACCTTCCAGCCAATTATTATGACCCAACTAATACATTTCTGAAAAATACTCTTGGTGCGCGCAACGCTACGGTTTTAAACGGACTTCAACACTGTGCAAATCTACATGCATTCACATCAGAAACAGCTAGTGCTGGGCGGTATGACCAAACATTTACATCACGGTATTTTTCACAATTATACCGGTTTCACGGTACATGACGGTATTTATTTTCTTTCACGCATGAGCGGGTGTTAACCATATTTTCTACTGATTGAGAGGAAATACTGCAGTATATTGACTTAAAATGCCCTATTTTACTGTCATGATGAGTGAATAGTCAAAATACCACTCTAAATAGTGACTAAACACGACCCCTTTTAATACGTGTTAACCAGGAGTCACTCTCATTTATAATCGCAGCATCGTCTGATAAAATCAACATGCATCTACACTAAAGAGCGGCTATGCGGTTGTTTTGTCTATACTACTTTTTTGTCTCATGCAGCTGCCTGCGTCTGAGTAACAAACTAAAAACACAACAAACAAAAAAGTGCGTGTGATATTAACAGACGAACTACGCTCATATTTATAATCCCAAACACTCAGTAAGCGACAGCTGCTAGGAAACGCTGTTCTGTACTCATTTATTGAATGCGCTGCTTCTCTGCCGCTCACTGCACAGAACAGACGCCGAGAGAGGCGACACTTCTCCAGGAAAGCCAGACCTCGCGCTCGCGGGACAGCACTGGAGAAATCCTCCAACTGAACCATAGCTAAGGTTTATCCAGAGAAGTGGCTAGGTTTGTCAGTAAGAATATTCTATGGAAGAAAGTCGCTAAAAGGGTCTGAAAGTTGTTCAAACTAGTGCTAAAGTCGCTGGTGTGTGTGAGATGCGGGAGCTGATGGCAGCGGGCGCTGGATATATGTGGCGGTCAGTGTGGATATCTTCTGTGTCATCACGTTCTATTAGTTCTACAGCTTCAGTTTCTGAGCTTTCACGCTTAGTAACACATACAGCTGTTCCCTCACCACAGTGCAGCAGTGAAAAGAGACCCCTCTCAAACAGTGTCGCGTTCCCAACGTTGTTTAAGTGACATACACCGCGGTATTTTAAAAATTCATATCATAACAAAAATAAACGGTATGAACCGGTATACCGCCCAGCACTAGAAACAGCCATTCATTTTTAATTGCAATTCTGCAACAAAAAAAAAGCAGTAACTGGGGTTGTGAGACAAAAAGATATCGTTTAATAGGCAAATAAGTTTAAATGACTGATAGTTACCTGTCCAGGTAGTAGGCATATAATTTTGCTATCTGTCAGCAGCGTCTTCTGTTCAGAGAGTCTCTTCGTGCATTAGCACGCTGAGTATAATTTATTATAGAAAAGTTATCATACGATCTAAAATACAGGACGTTAAAAAAGCTCCCAAACAGACATTTCTCTCCATCTGTAATCAATATTAATAAACTTAATATTGCATGCAGTTGTGAGTATATCTCAGTGCTTTTCGTCTCACTGCTTCTGTCTACGCTGCATACTTACCCAGCACTAACACTAGCAATGCCAGCTGTAAGACTACTGATGATGTGACCATGTTTGTGTGTGAGTGAGTGAGTGTGTGAGTGAGTGAGTATGTGAGTCTGTGTGTGAGTGAGTGAGTGAGTGAGTCTGTGTGTGAGTGAGTGAGTCTGTGTGTGAGTATGT